CACACACACACACACACACACACACACACACACACACACACACACACACACACACACACACACACACACACACACACACACACACACACAAACCTTTAACAAGCAGAACGAGCTGATTGTTCAACACGCCACAAAATATGAACTAATATTATAAGAGGAAGTTAAAAAGTTTCTGGTTTTATATTGTGGTTATGCAATAAACCTGGAGACAAAGAGTCCACATTTTCAGTGCCAGAGTTTTTACATGTAAAAAAAACCCTCATTGGCCAAATGGGACAAATAAAAACTCTTAACTAAGACTTGTAATAACCACATGATGGTATCTGTTGACAATATTTGTCTCATTCTCAACAAATCCGATAACTAAAAGCAGCAATTAATTGATCCTGTAGTCTGCTCTTACTTATTCTTTGTACGTCTGTACGTCAAAAATCATTGTTTGGAGAATTCTACTTTAAATCACTATAAAAACTGTTTGTTCCCACTACAAATACACTATACTACAAATGTATATATTTATAAACCTATTTAAACCAGTATTCCTTGATTTTTCTAAAATGTGATTTTATGTCTCTACCAAGGACGGGATATTTTCACCCATGTCTGTTTGTTGATTTATTTCATAACAGGATTAAGCAAAAAAAACTATTTCCACCAAAACAGAAGAACCCATTACATTTAAGTGTGAATGTGGATTAACGTGCCGATCCAGGATTTTTTTAAATGTCCTTAACTATGATTTATGATTCAATAAATGATTTAGGCTATCAGACTACTTCCTTTCTCTCTTTATATAACGACCATAAGAACTAAACAATCATGTTTAGGATTGTCTGGCCCTGTCTGAGTGATGCACAACAGGAAGCCATTTTTATTATTATTGTACCTACTATGCTATTATCCTCAGATAATGTAATCTAACTCACCATATCCGCCAGTGCAATATACAGGAACATTCCTCCTGCGATGGCAAAGATTGCGTTGGGGGCAAAGTTGCTCCCCAGCAGAATTCCAAACACGAGGCCGACGTAACACGAAACCGCTGACAGCAGATTGAAGAAAATGGCTTGTGGGATGCTCATGCCAGAGTTCAGCAGGATCACGAAGTCTCCTGCAGAGAGAACAAAACACAGCATTGATTAGAAGGAGTGAAACAGGCAGACTGAGCAGCATGTTAAAAGCATCGATGGAACTTTGCTCTGTAAAATACTTTGCAATATAACAGTTGTATTACTACCAATTCTTATATTTAGCAGTAATACTACTATCTGAGCCAAAACTAAAGTAAAAAAATAATTATTGAAGACTCAGAGCGACTCCCTTAGGCTCTCAAAATCTTAATCCACTTTTATGATTCCATGAAATACATGCGTGACCTCTAACACATGATCCCTCTTTTGCTCCAGGCATCTTCTTCCTGTCTCTGAAGTCACCGGCAAACGTAGGAATTTTCATTTTGAAGACACAAATAAAGAAAAACCTGCGTCTCAGAGAAGAGACACATTTTTGGTGCAGGTCTGCAGCTCGTCAGCAGAGGGCGATAAAGACCATTGATTCTTGGTGGGAATTTTAGTTTGAATGTAATATTTAAATTTTAAATTCCACCTTCAGCAGAAAAAAATCATCTCATTCTGTCTCATGGAATCAGATGTAGACGTTTGAAATTTATACTGACTCAGACTATGTTTTTGTGGCTGCACCAGGTCATCAAATGGAAATGTCCTCAATGTTATTTTATTAACATTTCTCGAAAAAAATCAAACCTGGTGTTGCTCTGGTGTCTTTTGTAACTTTAGCTTCTGCATGAGAAGTTAAAATAAAGTGAGTTTTGATGACTTGTGAGGGGGTTCAATGATTTTACTCCATTTATCACTCACCCAGCTCATGAGGAAACTCCTCACACACAATCGCAGTGGACGTGCTGAATCCCGTCAGTATGGACACGGTGAACGAAGCACCGATAGCCAGGCCGTCGATGAAGTTGTGCAGCGCGTCGCTCAGGGTTATCATCCACGCCACCGTCTTGATGCTGGAGACTTGTTTCCCACGCAGCCAGTGGCACATCACACCAGACCCCTGGACATCCTGCGGAGGGACGGGACGAGCGAAATGGAAAACGGCTTCTGCTTGGGTTCGATTTTTTTTACTACGGAAGTCACATGCAAATAACGGTACAGTATGTGGATTTAGTGAGCCACAAAGATAACACGCAACGATACTGTATCTCTGTGTTTGAAACCCAAAGTTCAAATCCGGAAAAATAAAGGACAAAGTTGAAAGTTTTGCTTTTAGCTTTTGACATAATCTGGTCAACACTATGTGAAGGCAGTTTGAAAAGACTAGAAGAGAACAGACTTACGGTTAACTTCAAGTCACAGACAGATTGGATGATGGGATTTATAAAAAGGTTCATTAGGAAATAGAGGAACGTGGAGAATTGGACTCAGTAGAGCACATATGTCCACCTCGGCTTCGGTCAAGCTGCTCACACTTGAGTTATTAGCTCCTTAAATCTGCCAGATTTTTTTTTTTTTAGGGAATCATTTTCCCTAAATGGATGTGCAGCATTAGCATCAGAACTCTTTAATTACAAATAGAATGGCACGAGTGTTGTTAATGGGAAACCAGAGCGCCGGCGGACATAAACAGAACCTTTGCAGTTTGGTTGCAGATCGTCTGCTGTGACAAAACATCCGTTCCCTCAGCCGCCGCTGAACAAGGAGTCTTTGTGCTCGGCTCAGACAATTCCAGCTTTTACCGGGGGACGAGGGATCTGAGGCCGTCAGCCTGGTTTCACTGCTCGATCCCTGTGTCACCATCGTGTCTGTTTGTTTAGTATTTTTGATCCCTTCAAAGCCACACTCCTCCATAAGACTCCAGAGATTTCACCGTTAAACATTAACAAAGGCTCCAATCGGCCCGCGTTGCTTCATCTGCTACGGAAGTATGTTTTGATTTAATGTCCACATTAGCACAGTTACACGCTTTGACTCATGAAGAGATTAAATCACAGTCATCAGTTTATAGTCCACGATCTATTTAGATAAAAACCTGTGCGAGACAGCAAGTCTCTGGCTTCTTTTTAGAAGCTTATCTCAAGACTGAGCTACTTAAACAAAAGATCACTGAGTACACGGCGGCAGAGCTGAGCAGGTTAATGTGACATGTGCAATCAGAGATCATCAGTCACTAATATTTCCAAACAGGTAGCATTCTTTTCTTTTCCTACCACAGATAATAGTGTTGTGGAGAACACCGGGTGTGCTTGGTACCTGATCTGGGTTCAGGCTGATCTTGTCTAAGGCAATGGTGCTGATTCCAGTCATAATGACGGAGTCATTCTTTTCTGAGATGTCTCCGTTGTGAAGGGAGTTGTCTGCAGGCATCTCTGCGGGAGTGAAGTGGCTGTGGCCGTGCTGAGCAGGAGACATCAAATGAGAAAGCACAAGTTCCATTAAAGACACTTAACAATGTTAGAGTCAGTCGATTAGTTGTCGACTGACTGAAAGTTGCAGTTCAAAAATACTGAAGTGGATTTAATATTCTAATACAAACTTAAATCTTTTATGGCATTTTTTTCAGACTCAAACATTTTCTTTCCTACACTGTGGACTGATGTTATTTTTATTTTAAATATATTAAACATTAGGGTTCTCTGCAACAAAGAGCACATTTTCACACAGTGTCACCTCGATGACCTCGATAGCGACTTTGACCCTTGCGTAAAATGATTATTTTAAATAATGTGCACGACTCTCATAAAGTGTCATTTCTTGCGGCAGTCAGCAATTGGAAGTGGAATAATCCCATAAACCCGAGCTGAGCAGTGGCACATTTACAACAGAGATATGATGATACCGGTATCAGTGATAACTGAAAAGTGTTTAATAAACAAATATAAAGTTACCTCGTGGTCCATCCGCAGAGCCAGCTTCAGAATCTTCTCCACAAAGAACAGGAGATAAAACCCCCCGAATATTCCAACTGCATTCCCCACATAGTTATCTGCTTTGGGATCAAACCCCAGGGCCTGTGGATGAACGGTTCGAAAAGTTAGAATCCAGTTTCTTCTAAATGAACCATCCTCTAAACGTTCCGCACGAGTCTCTTGAGCTGACGACTGATGCTCCCTCTCTTACGCACCTCTGGGATGAGCTGAAGAACAGCGTTGGAGAAGAGCGTCCCGATGGCCAGGCCGATGAAGTAGGTCAGCACTTTGGGGAAGTAGGATTTTTTGGTGAATGGTATCAGCAGGAGGCCGAGCAGAGACGCAAGGTTGATGACGGTGACGGCCAGGAACCCGTAACCCCACACTGTCAGGAGAGAAAGGACGATCAGCTGTGATTATTCAATCAATATAATCACAGAGTTTCTTTGTGCGTCTGTTTGTTTCTGCTCTTCTTTTTCTGTTAAGCCGTTTTATTTTCCATGATAAATGTGGAATCTGTTATTAACCGAGTGTCAAGGTTTAGGACCCTCAGTGTATTCTGCTCTGAGCTGAGTCTCAGGACCATAAATCAAATCACACACAAACCATGGAGCCACACAACCCTTATCTCCAGGGTGGGTCACATTCTCCGGCCTGTGGGTAAAACACCAGTTACAGTTTCTCACGTCTTATTAATTATCACCAACACGGCAAGAAAGTTCTGACACCTGACGTCTCATCTCGCAACAGCATCGCGCATAATACAAGTGAAATGAAAGCAGCCCCTCCCATGCACAAGTTGTGATATTTACGGAGGTGAAGAAGCTAGCATTGGCATGGGACCATGATGTGCTGCTAGTGGCTGACAAGCGTTAAAGGTTTCAATAAATTAGAAAACTTTTCGTGTAAAGCAGAAGCTTCGGAAACAAGTGTACCTCCTTAAAATACAAATTGATTTAATCGCATGACAATAATCCCCGTCTATTCTTTTAAATCCCTTCTCATATTTAATACGACGCAGTAACCAGACAGATGTGTAGCTCCGCAAAAAGACACCAAAACACGTGTTTGTTTGCAGAGGAGAAACTCTGGCGGAGGAAACAGCTTGAATTATGACCATCAGACTGAACAACAGTCACAGTTGGTTGTAACTGTGTCAACAGCACCGAGTGTGTGACGGAGAGGTCGGTGTCAGAGGGAGTCAATCCAGGTCAGTGTGGAGCGTCATGGATCCTCCACGGGAGGCGATTGAGTTTTTTTATTCATACAAGCTGGACTATGAATTGATTTATCTATTTACAAATAGTTAACCGACGGCTTTATAGTGTAATAATTATTTTAGAGAGCGAGCATTACCTCCTCGCAGCTGCAAGCCGCCCAGATTTATAAAATGTACACGAATGTAGTGAAGACGCAATAGATTTTATAAAAAGTTCGGATGATAAAAGTGTGGATTATTGAATTATGGTCAGTGGTGTATGTTGTGAGGTCACAGACTTCCTTCGTGACTTCCTGATCCATCATGTTCACATTTCACCAAGTAGACGTTTGTGCCAAATGTGGAGGGATTCCCTCCAGTGCTCCGGAGATAACGTGGTCACGAGTCCAAATCCATATTTGTGAATTCACCGTGACCTTGACCTTTGACCCACAAATCCGTTCATCATTAAACTCGTGGAGGATGTTTGTGATGCTGCTTCGGTTCATTTGAGTCAAACATTTATTTGATGTAACAGAAACTTCCATCCAGACAGACGATAATAAAGTAGAGGATCCTGTTTTAGAAGCGCTGCCTAAACATGAACCATGAAGCCCCCCCCCCCCCACAACAAAGGTTTCTAACACTTGACCTCTTGTCACTTTGAAATCAAAGGTTTTTAACACTTGGCCTCTGGGTGACTTCAAAGATTGTAGCTTGGAGCACTAACGAAACCAAGTGACATCATTGACCTTGTAAACGACCCCACGGAGCTCTGCTTCGTCTTCAAGTTTTTATAACCGGTCAAATCTGGTTTTATAGTTTCTTAGACTCAGATCCATGATACTTGTCCTGATGTACTTGTCCTGATGTACTTGTCCTGATGTACTTGTCCTGATGTACTTGTCCTGATGTACTTGTACTGTGTTTTATCAGCGTCGGTGCTTTTAAAGCCTCTATCATCCATGTGACTCTGAAGAAGACAAACGTGTCACTTTCACTTCCAACTCCTCCTGTAACTAATCAGATTACATTTATTATCACACACGGATCCTTTTTTATTTATTTAAAGTTTATCAATAATGTTAGTGTAAAAAAGTATTGATTATAATGTGATACTATAATGTTTCTTAATTTGTCTTGATCAAAAAAACAACCTGTATTTTTTTTACTGTAAATAAAACAATCCTTAAAGATGAATTCAGCTTTTTGTGTTTATATATATATTTTTTAATGTTATTTTAAATTGTGCTATATTCACATTCAATGTTTTTTATTGTTTGCTACGAGGGGGTTCACCTGAGGCTCTATTCTTGTCCAGACGAGACTAGACGAGAGGCCGACAGAGGGGCAGACCTCAGACACAGCTCTGAGATCCGAACCCTCGACCTCACATCTGAATGAAATGCAAACTTCACAACGGAATAATATCTGCGATGATTTGAAGTCTTTTCTCCAGCATTTTTCTGTAGCCGTGGATAAAAGCCCCACCAGAGCGGATTCAAGGGAACAAACCCCCCATGACCCGTGAATTATTTGAGCAGAGTGGGGGTGGTCCTGACAAATAAAGCAGGAGGCAGGCAGCAGTCGTGATGAAGCAACTCACCAGAGTAGTCAGCAGACACCAGGGTCTCGGACCCAGTGTAGGGGCAGGAGGGCAGCAGCACCTGGGTCAACACGGCCGGACAGATCATCCCCAGATGTCCCACAGTCAGCTGACTGACATTACTGAAACCAAAGTGGGACAGGATCTGCTCGGCTGAGAGACACTGAAGGACACAGAGACATTACCAGATTTAAGTTTGGTTTTTTTAAATGTTTCAATTTCTCACATTAGTTGATTTTTTTTGTATAAAATCTGTTTTTTCTAAATCACATGTTATTCTAATGGTTGACAGGGGACAAACCAGTTTCTATTAATGACGTTAATTCTGAAGATAATTATACCACCAAGTAGAAATCAGATGAGAAAAGGTAAAAAAAAGGGGAAATGTACAAGGTCAAGCTACTTAAAGCTTTATTCTTATTCAGGACAGAATTGTGTTTTTAATCATGTTGTGTGAATTATTGAAGATTGAAATGCATCGATTACAACTTAAAAAGCAAAACCTATGACGACAGCACTAAAGTAAAAGAGGAAATTCATACAAATAGGTAATTAATCATAATGAATTGATGGGATATTATACCACGAAGTAGAAATCAGTAGAGAAAAGGTTAAAGAGATCATTATATTCAGGTATATGTAGATGATAGGTTAATGTTATTATAAAGTTTATTAATTGTGTTTTAATCATTCATTTACTTCTGAAATCAAAACATATGAGCTACAGCACTGAACAAAAGGAAATGTATATAAATAAATAATTAATAACATAAGAAGCTACATGCTAATTATACTATAAAGTAGAAATGAGTAGAGAAAAGCTAAGAAAAGTGATAAAGTATATTGCAAGCCTGCTAGTTAAAGCTTGCAAGTTAGTTTTGAGTTTTTTTTATCATGTTGTGCATAAATAAAACCTCTAATGCAGAAATTATATCTTAAAGCAAAACACATGAGCAGCAGCACTAAATAAAATGGGAAAAGAATCCAAATGAATGAAATAAGCGATAATAAATATTAATAAGTGCTAATTTAAGTTGAATTGTTAATTTAGGACCGATATGTTTATCGATCATGTTCAAATGCATGAATTACATCTAAAAGTCACCACAAAGCAGAAATCAGTGCAGAAAAGCTTAATAAAGAGATTATATTTAGGTATAAGCATGTTGGAGTTATTATAAAGCTTAATCCGGATATAATAAAT